TTTAATTTTTAGTTTAGAAACTATGTTTTATTTCTAAGTGGTCTATTAACTTTCAGATTCATTTCAATTTCGTCTACTTGGTCAAAGATAATGGAAAACTTCCTATTCTGTTAAAAAACAACTAGTCCTTTGACTATATTTTTTTGATCTTTTAGTCCTTAAATTTATATTTATTATAAAAATAGCTTTTTTACTTAAAATTATTATTTATAGGCTGTCATACTAGATTTTTATACGGGTTTTCCTATTTCTTTAATTTGGTATCAAAGCCTGAAAGTTAATAGACCACTTAAAAATAATAATTTTAAGTATAAAAATCTGGTATCAAAGCCTAAAAATAATAATTTTAAATATAAAAGCTTTTTTTATAACAAATATAAATTTGAGGACTAAAAGATAAAAAAAATATAGTTAGAGGACTAACTGTTCTCTAACATAATAAGAAGTTTTCCGTAATCTTTGACCAAGTAGACGAAATTGAAATGAATCTGAAAGTTAATAGACCACTTAGAAATAAAACATAATTTCTAGACTAAAATGAAATCAAGGTGATAGTTAATAGACTAAAAATTGAATTAAGCCTTTTATCAACTCTATCTTATAGTTTAACCAAAATGATGTGTCGTTTGATCTCTAGAGTTTTAACATTTGTATCTCTTAATCAAAGTTTCTTACAATCAGCACGATTTAAGTTCTTGCAATACCATAATTTATTACAAATCTAGTCATTTGAAAAGCCTAATTGGATAGAAGCAAGTTTGGGTCATATTGATTATTTATTTGCCACAATGATTAGTTTATTATTCTTTTATGTTTGGTTTCGTTTTCAAAGCTAGAATTAAGTAAATAAAAAGCCTGTGTTTTCAACCAACTTTGGCTCTCCCTTTCAATTATTATACTATTTTAAATCATGTGAGTTGCATTCTAAAGTAATGTTGGATTTGCACTATTGGATCTTTTTGACTAATTTTCTATCATAAAATCTTGAGGAAACTGGCTTCTAGCTTCGACTTTTATCTTTGGCTTCTTCATCCTGAACCTTTCGTCTCATCCAACAACTACATATCCATACAAACAACTTTCCTTAATTTGCCACAAGCTATATTGATTAACTAAATATTAGATTTGTGGCATGTTGGTTTGTTTAACAACTATTGAAAACAAATTTTTGAGAACTTAGTGCTGCATGACAATGTCAGCACTTAGTTGGAAATCAGAGTAGAGTGGATAAGAGTTCATTCCTTCATTTCTCAATAACAAGTTTCAAAATTTTTTCGCTCAACACCATCCCTTGGTGATAGTGTGTCAACTTAGTTTTGTTCAATTTTTGATTGGAAATAGAATGCCATTTAGATTAACAAGGAATGGATGGTTATAAATTTGTATTGGTCAATTGTAGTCTTTAATTTATACAATAAAAACTTCATATTGCTATTGATTTGATGGGAAAATCCAATGCTTTGGTCCAATTTGTTGTACATTCAAGCCTCCATAATTCTACTGAGAAAAAAAAATCCCTTAATTTCATTATTTTCTTAGTTTTCATTTCTTTGTTGTTTGTTAGAAGCTATTTAAGACTAAAATTAACAAGCTATTAGATCAATTTATTGTTGTGTGTAAATTTTCATAATTTGTTAAAGTTATTAAATCATTGTATCACTTTTTCATATTTAGTTTTACTCTTATTTTCTTTATTAAGTTTATATTTATACATATTATTTTTTTAGAATGGCCACTATTGACCCTTCATTGCAAATTTTGGCCTTTTCACTATTTATTGGTATTAGCTATTAATAACAATGCTTGGTAATTATTGAATACATGTGTAATCACAATATATAATCTCATCAATATAAATGGCCGCAAAATGCAAGAAAACTTAATGGCTTTCCTCTTTTCATTTAAGCTTCCCTATTTTTGGGATATTAGGTTTGGTCTTGATATGGTTGTTCATTAAGATTAATGAGTGGCTATTGACATAAATTCTAGTAGGAGAAGTTGAAAGGCTTTGAGCATTACGAACTTGATTATTATTTGTCTATAGTTGTGTGTCCTTCATATTTGTATGTAGGCTACAAATTGCAATCAATGGTGATTTATGAATAAATTTTGGTCATTTTAGTTCATGAAGACATTCCAATTCTCTTATTTGTTGTAAAAAAAAGGAAAACCTACCCTTTGATTTCATATGCACATCCCAATAATCAGTTTGTATGAATGATTTGTTAGTATTTACTTCTAATTATATTTCTAAACCAAAGTTCTTACTACATTAGAGGAACAAAAAGTGAAGCAAGACTCCATGTTGTTTGACTAGATTTCTTGCCTAGAAGAAGATATAAAAGAGATTGAAAGGGGACACCTATTAAGGACATCCTCTGGCATTTTTCAAATAAATCACATTGCCTAAAAGTAATAATAGGGAGGACAAAATCTTGAGATGAAAATTTAGAACCAATGTTGTGGTACAAGTCACATAATTAAATTAATTAATGCATATAATAGTATAGGTTCCAAAAAAGTAAAAAGAACCAATCATTAAATAATGGGTAGTGCTATAGGGACAATCTTTTTATACCACCTTTTAATACAACTTTCACATGTCATTAAATGAGTGGATGTATTTAATATCACGGGTCTTATATGAATAAAAAAAATCAACCATTTAAGTAACACATCAAATTGTACCAAAATGTGGTGCAAAAATTAAATGACACGTCTGATTGTACCAAAAGGTGGTACAAAAATGTTGTCCCAAAATTATTTCCCTTAAATAATATAGGACTACATTTTAATATTTTAAATGACATGATTTATACTGCATCATTGGTCCTACATTTTGATCACAAATTTTAATCCTATTTGTCATTATTGACTGCCTAAAGATTGCCTATAACTGTCAGGCATAACACCAGTGTTATAGAATTTAGGATGTAAAAGACATAACTTGAAATTTTTGTATTTAATCCTTTTAGGCTCTGATATGTTTATAATAGGGTTAAAACCTCATTTTAGCCCCTTTACTTTAACAAAAAGATTGTTTATAGTCTCTCAACTTTAAAAAAGTCTCTTTTTAGTTCTTGAAGTTTATTATTCAGCCCTTTTTTAGTCCCTCTATTATCCTCTTGCACACGTCACGTTAAATAATGAAAATTCCAAAGTAAAGGAACTGAAAGGGGGTTTTCTTTAAAGTAGAGGGACCAAAAGAGGTTTTTTAATCCTTTTTTAGTTCCTTTATTTTGAAATTTCCATCATCTAATTAATGTGTCACATATATAAAAAAATAACAAAAAGACTAAAAAACTTAAAATTGGCTGAATAATACATTTTAAGGGCTAAAAAAGAGTTTTTTTAAGTAAAAAAACTAAAAAATTTTTTTTATTAAAGTAAAGGGCCTAAAATAATAGTTTAACTTTATCAGAGTTGTGCTTTCCAAAAAAAAAAGAAAAAAAAAGAAAGAAGTGTTTTATAGAGTTGTTTTTGTTATTAACTTCTCTTTTATTTTCTTATTAGAGATGCTTTAAAGGTCATTGACATGACCTTATTAAGATAATCAACTTTAATTTTTTGAAAGATTTTTTAATTACTAAAATATGTATAAACATTTTATTATTGTAAGTTATATGATAATAAAAGAAACAATAACTATAAAAATTGGAAGAGCAACACCAAAAAAAGGAAAAGAACTTTGTAACTTCTTCTCTTATTTCACATAAACTAGAACCCCTTTTTTTACTAAATCTTTTGGTATCCAAAAGTTGCATTAGATTTCAATTACTTCAGAATTGAGTAATATCGGATTCTATAAGGGAAAAGCCTTATAGAGTTGCTCTTGTTATCAACTTCTCTTTTATTTCCTTCTTAGATATGCTTTAAAGGTCGTTGACATGACTTTATTAAGATAATCAACTTTAATTTTTTCAAAGATTTTTTAATTACTCAAATATGTATAAACATTTTATTATGGTAAATTATATGATAGTAGATAACTATAAAAATTGAAAGTGCAACACCGAAAAAAAAAAGGAAAAGAACTTTGTAACTTCTTCTCTTATTTCACATAAACTATAACCCCTTTATTAACTAAATCTTTTAGTATCCAAAAGCTGCATTAGATCTCAACTAATTTAGAATAGAATAACATCGGATTTTATAAGTGAAAAGCTCTCATAGTGCTTAATGTTTCATTCACAAGATTTAAACTCAAAATATTATTTAAGAGAAATCAAATTCCTTTCATTATGACTAACAAGTCATTGGTAAGTATAACTTTTGGTATCCAAAAGTTGCATTAGATCTCAACTAATTCAGAATCGAATAACATCAAATTTTATAAATGAGAAGCTCTCATAGTGCTTAATTCTTCATTTATAAGATTTGAACTCAAAACATTATTTAAGAGAAATCAAATTCTTTTCATTATGACTAACAAGTCATTGGTAAAATATAACTATTTATACATGAAAAAAATTATAACTCTCAAATTAAAGTCTACAATACAATAATATAAAAAATTCTTATTGGAAATAGTGGAGGTATAAATATATCAATAAGTCTCAATAAATTATTAGTCATCCATTATATAGATGAGAGATGATGGGAGATAATGTGGGAGGTAATGGTTGTTAGTTGGAGAATGCATATCCATAATACATTTCAATGCAAATCATCCATTAAGAAGGAAAAAAAAGTAACATCTAGGGTATTAGCAATCAAAATATATAATAATCACCTTTATTTCATAACACTTATATAATTATTTATATCATAAAACAATCTTCTCAATTAAATCACCAATAAAGTAACATCTAAGGTATTAGCAACAAAAACGTGTAATAATCACCTTTATTTTGTAACACCTAATTAATTATTTATATCATAAAAAAATCTCTTGAATTAAATCATCAATTACCCCATGTAGTGGAGCAATGAACACTCGTTAAAATAAAAATCAACTTATTTTTTAAAACAAAAGTAGTAATTATTGATAGATAAATTGTGTTAAAATGTTGTTTTACTAATGGGAATTATTTATTAGAAATGGAAGGTGATAGAAAGGACAAAAATTTGAGATTAAAATTTAGAACTAATAATTTGATATTTCATATTATTAAATGAGGTGATATATATAATATTAAACTTTTAAAAAAAATAAAATAAAAAACTAATCATTAAATAATATGGGGTAACCAATGACTTGTTAGTCTGAGTAAAAGGAATTAGATTCCTCTTAAACAAAATCTCGAGTTTGAGTCTTGTGGATGAAGAAACAAATATTAGGAGAGTTTTTGCCTTTATATAATTTAACACGACTTGACTCTATATTAATCGAGATTTAACATGGCTTTCGGATACCGAAGTGTTAGTACCAACAAACATTAATACAAGATCTACCGTTTAACATTTAAAATAATATAACTTATATTGAATCATTCATTCCAAATTTTGATTCCAAAATTTTCTATGCATTTATTGTTATCCTAACAAAATATAGTTATAAAATCGTTAAGCTGCTTACGATTTATTACTCTCCATGCCCACTAATATCACATTGATCCATTAATTTAGGAACCAACTATATATATTTAGGGTCAAGTGAGAAAAACTAGGAGATTAATTTAGGGATGGTTATGAGAAAATTTGGGGAGATTAAATTAGGGCAACAAGTTGGTATATATATTAGAAATGGGATAGAAAAGAGATCAAGGAGATCGACATCATAAAATAAGAGAGACAGAAAAAAAAGATGGCAATGCAAGAAGCAAGCTTTTGTTTTGGTTAAAAGGAAGACAAAGGGAGGAAGAAATGGCAGAGCATGAAGCAAGCTTTTATAAAGACTCAAAAACTTGAAAGGAAGGATGTACAACTACGGTTAACAAAATATAGTTATAAAATCGTTAACCTATTTGCGCTTTACTACTTTCCATCCCCGCTAGAATCACATTGATCCATTTAGAAACCAATTATATATATTTAGGGTCAGGTGAGAAAAATTAGGAGATTAATTTAAGCATGGTTATGAGAAATTTGGTGAGATTAAATTAGGGCAACAAGTTAGTATATATATTACAGATGGGGTAGCAAAGAGATCAAGGAGATTGATATTAGAAAATAAGAGAGAGTAAAAAAAAAAGAAATGGCAAAGCAAGAAGCAAGTTTTTGTTTTGGTTAAAAGGAAGACAAAGGGTGGAAGAAATGGCAAAGAATGAAGCAAGCTTTTATAAAAGACTCAAAAACTTGAAAGGAAAGATGTACAACTACAAAAGGCTCAAAGAAACAAGGTAATCTTTTATGCTTCTGTTTCATTTACAATATTTATTTTCCATTTATATATAGTGCTATCTTTTAGATAGAAAATTTTAGTAATAAACAAGTATATATATCCTCATGTGCACAAAATTATTAACAAATATGAATTCTTCTCAAATTCTCACAGTTCACCACTCACAGCAACAAACGCATCTTCATTAGTTTGGTTTTTATTTTTATTATTTTCACTTGTAAGTTTTTTGTACCATTTATTTTAGTTATTTTTTAATTTATATTATTGAAGAATAGTTTAAGTGATGATGAGAGAGATGAAGAAAAATAAAGAACATAAAAAAGATGAGGAAAATATAAATTAATCGAATGGAAAATTATTTGATATTGTACAAAAATTTTATTTAATATTATTCTTTCACAAAATGTTTGTTAATTCACTAATAACCATTTGTTATATATATATATATATATATATATATGTTATAATTCACTAATAATCTTTTGATATATACATATGTTACTATATATTAGTTACAATTCTCAAAAAAAAAAAGTTAGAGTTTATATATGAAATTTGAAATTCTAATTCAAAATTCAAAAATTCAATTAATTTTCAAATTTAAATATCAATATTTAATAATATAAATTAAATTTTTAAATTTTAAATTGAGTTTAATTAAATAAAACAACCTAATATAAGATTAGGATTCTAATTTTTTAAAAGTCAAAACTAATATGCATCTTTTCCAAATGTATGCAACACATTAGTATTCTTTTATTCAATATATGTTCATTTTTCTCCTTCAATTCATGTCAATCAATATTAAATTATGATGGATACAAAGTAATATACATTTTAACTTAACACACTACATTACATATTCATTTAAAAATTTATTGTTTTTCAATATGAAATTAAAGACACACAAAACTAGTTAAATTAAATTGTATTAAATGTGTTATATACTATTTATTTTCCAATTATCATTAAAGACTAATAAATTTTACTTTGTAATAATTTTCTTTTGTCTTTTTAATATTTCTTTCTTTTATCAACTTTTTCAATCAATAAACAAATGCACCCTTTCTTAAGCATGGATTTGCTTTGTTCTCTCCTAAAAGATAATTTTCTAACTTTGCCACTGATCATTAGGAAGACTGAAGACAACGATGTTCTACAACAGAAAAGAGTGGCCTCATCTTCATTTTGTTCATATTAGATCTGTGAAAACTATAAAATGAGATCATTTCCATTCCTACCCATTGAGTCGAATTGTTGGCGATCAAACTTTTTTTTTTATGAGATTAAACTTAGTGTTTTTTCTATGAAACTTTGAGTAATCATCGTTCTGAATGTTTACCAAACTAAAATTGCTAATTGTGAAACCTTTTGATATGTGCAAAATATTCTTATATAAAATACACATAAATGTACTTTTTACATGGGCTTATGATTTTTTTTTTAATGATTTTTTGTAGAATGGTGTATTCCCATGATATGGTGCTGGGTTTTGGAATCTTGATTTTGATGTATATATTGACTTGTGAAATTATAGGAGATGAAGCATTCCAAAAGGTGGTGTCCAATGATAGTCACCTAACCAAGGAATATCACATAGTAACCGTTAAGGCAAACAATGCAAATATTCCTTTGGAATGCTGCGATAGACTTTATGACTCTTTTGTGCAATTTCATCTCCGATTCGTATATGGGTTGTATTCCTATTATTGGCTTCAATTCTATATCCAGTCTATTGGTAAAATACTATTTCCTCCTAACTAATTTTCATCCTTGTATGGTCGTCATTATCCCCTTTTCTCCTATGAATTTGATAAGCATGTGTGATATAATAATATACCTTCTATGCATCCATCTATATATTTGTTACACTTTATCATCTTACTAAAAATGTAAGGCAACTACTCATTCCATAGTAGAACCATATGACAAATATCCCTTGATCATATATTTCTTTTTGTTAATTTGACTAAGGTATTCAATTACTACAGTTAATGCCTTGCACCATACACTTAATAAACTGTGCATTCCCAATTCTTATTTCAAGGGATTAATCATGTTGAATTTTGAATTGCACAGGGGATATTTCTTTTATGGCCAACAACCATGATTTCAAAATCAAGGCCTTCTACACTCTTACACTCCGTTAGGTTGCACATCTGCAACAACAACATGATTGAGTTATCTTTTCTCTGCATTTTCTCTCATTTCCATTGGAGGTGGTTGTGTTAGCTACTCCACAACCTTCAAAATTGATCATTGGAAGGAATAAAGATAAATCAGAAGATAAGAGAGGTCGTATAAAGGTTTTTTTATGTACTATTACACATTATCCTCCTTTATTGTTATAATAGCTACAATAGCAATAGCTATTATGTTCTTCATTCCTTATCCCCTATATTTTAAGTAGATCCCAAAGCAAAACATGTGTGTATAATTTTCTTATCTTATCTATTAAAAATTAAAAGATTAAATCCTTAAAATTCTCTCTAAAACTATCCAATAACAATTTTTTAAAGCCCAAATTTTCCTTAACTTCACTTAAGTCCGATAACCCAATGTATAACCAATCCAACAAACAAATCCCTAAGCCCACTAGTAACTCCATTTTCTGCCCCACAATTTCAACCATCGCAACCACCATCCACTACTCTACAATCTTCGACCTCCCATTTCTTATTTATTTAATCAATTAATAATACCAAATAATTCCAATTATTCTAAAAATCCCTATCACAAGTTCTTCATTTACACGAGCAATTCCCAATTTCCAATTTGCAAATCCCTGTCTATAATTCTACATTTGTGCCAAAAATCCAAATGTTGACAGTTAAAGCCAAAACTTCTTATAACCTTGTTTTTCAAACTTCAATCTAATGACCCAATCTGCCAATCCAGTCACTACCATTTGGTTGAGCACTTCCCACAACCTCATTTGACATTATCCCTACAAACTGATCAAAACTCCCCGTAAGCTCTTTCTCCGCAAGCTTTGGTGGTTGGACGATTCAACTCCACTCCAACCCTCATCCAATGTGGGTGATTTCTCAATCCTTTATAAATGGCAAAACTCTCTAATTCACCCTAAAAAAAATGAAGGGACAAATGATACCCAAAATTATCAGTGACCCAATCACCTAATATTTAACTACTAATGTTTTCACCACCAAGATCTCCATTTAGTTTGTGGCAATATGCCAATTATTTACACGCTTAAGGTTGATGTGCACCTTCCTACACTTTTTTTTTTTTTTACACGTGTCATTTGCACACCCTTTGTTTCACAATGTGGCTAGTGGGTCCCACTCTTTATCCCATATTTAGCCAATATTTTTTGGCCAACCAATTTGCCCTCGTTCTAGTTTTCAGAGTGGGGGTTAGGGTTCTTTTCAAAATCACAAGGTTTTCTCTCAATTCTTCGATTCTTAAAATTAGTTGAGGGGAAAAGATTATGGGTGTTTGGAAGTTTCATCCCATGGAATCTTTCTCTAATTCCTGAGTTAGACCTTGTTGAGCCTCTGTTGGTGCAGGAACAAAATTAGTTGTAAGGGTATTGGGCTAGTTGAGCACAATTATAAAGGTCCTCAAATGTTCTGAATGTTGCTTCTAAGCACCAAGATAGACTTCATGGCAACCATGGAGCATTGGGAGATGATTTTATGGTTGTCGGCACTTCTTAAATGAGGCAAATTTAGGGTTTTGCCTCATGCCACTGTAAATTTAGTCATATGTTGTTTTTTTATTTTCTTCCAATTTTCTTTACTACTTGTAAGTTATCTAGTAACAGGATTTGAAGTGCTCATATTTTGTTTGGCATGACTTAGAATTGTCACATGAGAGAGCCATTGAGCTACTGAAGCTGTTAGTTATTAAGAAAAAGACTTTCACAACAAAGTTTCACTATTGAAAAGGCAATTAAGAGAAATGATGAATGGAGGTGCAGTTGTTGAGTTAAGCCACGCCATATTTACAATAGATGAGGACACCATACAAAAATTGGATGAAATTATTGAGATAATTGTGGCAAATGCTATGAATAATATTGTCAAAAGGAAATTGGGTGCCTTGATTACAGCCTCTGTTGGTGTTGAGCTCAAAAAATTAAGAGGGTTCATACTGTATTTGGTGTCTTTGTTATGTTGGCTATGTATTGGATGTTTAGGGGGTTATTCTAAGTGGTAGGTGGTGTTTCAAGTGTAAATGTTTGGTCCTTGTTTTGGTGTTATGTGGTCATATGCGATGATCAAAATTTTGAAAGGTTGGATAACATACTTATCCACCATTGTAATGTAATTAAATCTGTTATACAGAAATGAAAAAAGGTTTTTCTACACTTGTAAAGCAATATACAAACACTTATGTTTTGATAACCTAAAAACTATAAAATAACAGTGGATGGTAAACATTTTGCACCCAAAAAAGAACTAAATGAACATTGTACTTTATAGCACCAATAGGTTGTTCAGAAACATATAAGCATTATACCAAAAGAAGCTTGTTCATAAGCACATAAAGACATTTTTCATATATAAATAAGAGTAAAATATTAAAGGCCAAATCAACAACTATATACAATGCTAACAAACAAAAGTGGTCATGCCATTAGAAATCAACCTTTAAGGTCTCTCAAGCTTTTTCCTTCCCCTTTGCTTTTGTACCTTATTTGTTTTGCACCTTATTTGTTTTGCACCTACTTGGACTCTTTGCTTAATACCTCTGCCTTCATTGATGACAATACCAATAGGCTCCATGAATTGAAAAAATTAATGTGCACATTTTATTACCTTAAACACAAAAAAAAAAAAAAAAAACCAATTATAAGCACAAAAAAAAAAAGAGAAGAATTTTACATAATAAATATTATTTTTTTTTTCTTACACTGTCATTATGCTTTCGTTTTGTTTTGTTGGTCTTCTTCCTTGTGCCCCACCTAGACAAATAGTATCACTTTTTTTACCAACCTTAGTGTTCTCTTTTGAGGCTTTTGGCTTTTGTGTAGGATTTGAACTCTTTTTACTCGTATTTTTGACCTACTATTAAATAAAGTTAACATGTCAAAGTTACCTTACATAAATAAAGTATAACATTACATAAATAAAGTATAACATTACAAAAATAAAGTGCACTAGTAAAGTTACCTCAATTTGACTAGAGCTTGCTTTTTTATCTTGGTGGACATCCAGCTTTATTGCCCTTGTTCACCACACTCCCTACAATTGTACACAAATCCAAGCTTCAATAATTTGGTCAGTTTCCCCTTCTTAATTTTCTTAGGCTCATCCTTTGCCTTTCTTCTATTCCTTTTAGGGTGCCTTAGCATTGGTCTCATCTCAAGTGGCAAACATCCTCCTAGCCTCCTCTTCAAGACTTCATTCCTTCTAAGGTATTATAGTGTTATCCCATAAGATTGAAGATATGTTTCCTTTTTGTAATACTCATCAATAAAATACTCAAAACTCCAATCTTGGTATATAAATGCACAAAGAGTATGTGGCCAAGCAATTCCAATGAGGTTCCATTTTCTACATGAGCGATTGCTTTCCTGGACATTGACCACATGTTTATGTTATGTATGACCATCAAACACAACAAAGTCATTATCACCATTCCACCGAACATTGCATTGAATTGACAGGTCATTATTATCATTAATTTTTTTCAGAACTCTAGGTGTAATATTAGTAGCCTATGTCTCAATAAACAACTTTTTGTCTTTGAATCTCCATGAGTTGGTCAGTTAAAGTCCTAAACATTGAAACAATAGCCTTGCATCTTGCACCTAAAATCCATGAATTAAAAGTCTCACACATATTATTATCAACCACATCAAGCTACAATTCTTATTAAAAAAGACCTTACACCAGAAATTACTAGGCACTTCATTCATTTCAGCAGTAGGGTTTTTGGACAATGCCCTTAAAGCATCCATTTTGTCCAAATAGTCCACAACTCATTTGTTGCCCTACATAGCAACCAAAATGCAAGCTTGATGTCATCATGTCTATTTCGCCTTACAAAATTACAATAGAAGTGCTTACAAAATATCTAGGCATTATCAATGGTAATACCTCTATCTTTGCATTAATAATGCCTTGCACAATAATAAATGAAATTAATTATTATAATCAACACATGTCCCTAATCCTAAAAAATTAATAATAATTGTGATAAATACTTAATAAATGTCCATCAGAAATCATGGTGTAACCCTGTCCATGGCCCAACTCTAAATCATATGCTAGCTTCTCCATCAACCATTGCTAAGACTCATTATTTTATGACTCAATGACAGCTCATGGAATTGGGTACATTTGATTATTTCCATCTTTACTAACAGTAGATAACAATATACCCTTGCATATTCCTTTTAAAAAACAACCATCAACCCCAAATATTTGTCTGCATCCTTTTTTCCAACCATCAATAACTGCTTTCAAACATACATACATCCTACTAAACACTTTTTCACCAGCAAAATTCTCTTCAATCCTAATAAAAATTAAGTTTCTAGGGTTTACTTCTTTTAAGTACATCCCAAATGCATTAATCATAGAATACTCATCTCTATAATTTCCTTCCATCTCCTTTAAAACCATTTTTTCTTTTTTCTTTTTTCCTTTTTTTGCACTTTCACATTTCTTGTAGTTAATATTTATCCTAAGCTCATTATAAGCAAATATCATCATGTTTCTACATTTTATGAAAGGAGTGGCATAACTTATGCTTTTGAAGTACTTAGCCACCATCTCACAAGTCATCATCTTGTTTTCAAGAATTTTGAAGCAAGTGTGTTCAAAGTAGTAAGTCTTTACCTTGAAACTGTTGTCCCTCTTTTCGACTAAAGCATAACTCTCCCAATTGCACAAACCAACCTCACAAAAAACACTCTACCTTTTAGGTTCATTCTTAATGTGTATAAAAAGACATCCTTTCCTTACAGAATAATGTTTGACTACATGAATTGTTTGGAACTTTGAAACCTCATTCCAACTTAAAAAATAGGGACCTTCTAAGTAGGATTGAAGTAGACATTTGTAGCTCTTCTTGGTCTATCTGCTACTTAGGAGCAAAAAAAAGGTCATCTTCAAAATATGTTGATGAGTCCCTCAACTTGCTAGCACCATCACTTGGAGCATATTCACTATCTCTCCCATCATTATCACTATATCTGCCCTCATTAGCATTATTAATTGGAATTGATTGAGATGGATGTACAGGATCTCCCTTCTTCCATTTTTTAGGGGTTATATCCTTTCCCTTGTAAGACTCCCTACTTTGTGGCAATGTCTTATATCTTTTTTTTGTAAGCTTGGCCTTTT